CACCTGCATATCTAATTTTCATCCTGTATTTTGTTTACGAACTATATCTTGTTTTCACATTACACATACAAAACAGAATAACTGCATCCGGTTCTAAGTATACGAGCAAAAATGGTATTTATTTTTATTGTATAATGTAGGAAGAATGCTATTCGTATAAAGGAACTTCCCCCAAGAAATCTTTTAATCGGCAATCTCGTTGCGATTACACGTGTACTCATAAACCTCTAATCAAATCAGTTTCAACATAATCAGGTCACAATAACGATATGTAGCAATATGTATCACATATCACGCGCTTTCTCTTGGTGAGAAGGATCTGAAAACAATTTTTTCTGGACTCGATATTTCTCATTACCGTGTCATTTAACATTTATGTAGTATTTTTGACGAATGTATGTACATAGTTTCTAGTAACAGTTCGTTGAATTTTATTTTAAAGAATTTTATACTTTTGCAAAAATCACGGCCGCAGCTTTTATATAATTATCGATATACTAAATATTAATTATCAAAATATTGAGAGAAATATATTGCTAGGATTTGAAAGATCTGTTTTATATAATATTCAAAAAAGAAGAATTGAATTTATATTCTTCGAGGAAACTGTATCTATAATGACGGGAAAATTTTTTTTCCGCTACTCTCAAATCCAAGATAAAATAATTGAGATATTTGAGTGAACGGGACGAAACATGATAATGTTATGATAATAAAAAATTAATAGTTATTAATTTAATATTTATTCCACACGACACGATTATTAAAAATAAATTCGCGATCTATTAATTTTATAACGATCACTAATTTTATCATTACGTTCGCGTTCACCCGACGATCTCATTTGAAACTATTTGACCTCGGGCACAGAGGTTCAAGTAATTTCATCAGGAAGAATATACATTCGAAAATGGCGTGATTTACGTAATTCTAACGCTTCGGCGCGCGGAATCGTTTCCTGCAAGAAAGTTTTGCCGCGAAGAGTCCGCGAGATTGTGTCGATGTGACGCGTATATTGCATCAATCGAGCGCGATCACCCGAGGCGTAAAATAAATGTGTCACGATGAATGGAGCGGCCCCGGAGCACCGGCTTCCCTCCTCCGCCGAATATTATCTAGTCATCGTCTAGATAATGCGTCGCGCGATAACGCGGGCGAAACTGCGCTCGATATCGACCATACCTTCGTATATGTATATTCGAGGCATTCGTTATCGCATTTTTTTCGTATCCTGCGGAAGTATCTTACTATATATTTCCGTTCCCGGTGCCATAAGCATTCGTCCGAAGCACGATTACCAGAGATTTTTTGGACCCTCGAGACGCGATGAAATATATAAATAATAATGGGCCAGAGCCACGAGGTGAAGTGTTCGAGATTCCTGACTATAAGTAAAAACAATTCAATTATTTTCCAATGATGAAATAGATAGCTTTTATTTTAATGATTTTTTTAATGATTTTTCCCCTATGATTATTAAATAAATAACGCCATTTGATTTTGATTACTATTAAATGTAAGAATACGCATCCCAGTTATTTCATAAATATATTTTGTATTAATATTTTTTTTATTGATGTTAATTTCTTATTATTGGAGAATTATTATGTTTACTTATAAATTCATTGTCTCATCGGCACATTGGCCACGATTAATTATTTTTATATCTTATTGCATCGGGGGCTTACTCATTGTGTTCCTAATGCGCATTTTGTTTAAAAAATTATTTTTATATTATTATTATTGTAATCGCTTTTATTTTACTACTCTTTCACTTTTCTTATATCTTTTAAATTCTCCAGAAAATCGATTAAAATTGCACAATAACATTCTAACGAATATTTTATAAAGATATTTTCTTTTTTTATATTACGAGTTTTGTTAGAATTCTAATCTTGGTATCGATTTTAATCTTGTTAAATAAGCAAAGGAGGGGTGTTCTTCTGTTTGTCTTTTGCTTCTCTTGGGCGCCGTGAGAACGCTCGTTCGAAAAATCGTGCGCGAATTAATGAGCCTCGAAGATCAGGTCAAGGCTCCTCCGCTCGGTTGCGACACAGCACGTAGTAGTCTAATTGTGCCCTTGACACAATTTTTCGCCAACATGTCGAGTGAAGTGAAGGGATTTTTACATGCGATAATCGTCATCGTTTATATCGGGATTAAGGAGACGTTTGTCCAGCCCGATTAATTAGAAGATTGCGGCGTAATCTTCTCTTCTTCTAATCTTCTCATGCGGGAGAAGAACGCGCGGCGAAACTTTGTTTGACCCTGACGAGGGTCAGGATATCTAAACACGAGCGATATCACTTAGTCTACTGTATTTCGATGAAAAAATAGGTTTCCACAAGAGAGACTTGATTTCTCGCAAGAAAAGATAATGAAATAAGAAATAAAGAATAAAATATATTTTCGAATAGAACGAAAAAGCAATTCGATATTTGCGTAGAATCATGAGCCATTATACGCTGTGCTAAAAAAAAAAGATGGTTTTGTTCACGCGAATTATGTATGCGCATTTATTCATTCATTTATGTATCGCAAGGAAGCGCATATAGCTTCTCGGAATAACAGATCGATCCTGCAGATTTAATGATGGTTTTGTTCACGCGAATTATGCATTTATTCATTCATTTATGTATCGCAAGGAAGCGCATATAGCTTCTCGGAATAACAGATCGATCCTGCAGATTTAATATAAACAAGTCCTCGCGGGAATTTCGTCATCGTCACAAAACGGATCGGCATCGACATTCTCTGAACCAAAAAATACGAGTTAGAATCCTTTAGTTTTAACACGATAGTATACGTACTTACATGTTCTAGAGAATCTGCAGTATTGTATCATATATATACACGTTCTCTCTCGCTCATGATAGGCACGTCGCACGATCATTGCGTATCCGGAGATAACAATTGTCGCACTCGTCGTAATGCGCGATCGTGCGACGGATAATAATTTATTTCCATTCCTCTCTCTCTCTCTCTCTCTCTCTATTTCTCTCTCTCTCTCTTTTTTCCTCTATAACCGTCAAACTAAACTAGCTAAATGATGATTTGCATTTTATTTTTGTATGCATCTATATTATATTACAGAATGTCTGTAAATGTATAATTAATTCATTATTTGAAACAATTGCGAGACGACTGATTAAACTATCGATCGTCTGGTTTAAATTCTTCCTGGCTTAATCTTTCGCGCTTGAAACGATATTTACATTTCATTTAATTTTTTTTTTTTATTAAATAAATCTTTAATTGTACTAATTATTAACGTTTTATGACAGATATTTATTTATAAAAATATATAGGAAGTATACATATATATATTTATATTATATAAAAAATTGGATTGTAAGTACAAGTGTGAAAATTTGAACAAATGGACATTTCTCGTTACGCTTTTATCGCATTGCGAAATATACAACAACGCAATTCGCATAGAACATCCGGTATGGATTAAGACGTATGAGTCAATGAAATTAACATTTGCCGTGCAAAACGAAAGCAAGGTGAATAGATAAATTAAATGCGTATGTATGTCGAACCCGTATGCGAATTAATTGTGTTAAATAAACTTCTCTAATTTTATAATATATCGGACGTAGAGAGACTCGCCATTTAAGAGCGTAATTATTTTCTTATTACATTATATAATTTATTATATTGTAGCGAATGATATCAGCTCTTCTACGAAAAATCTGCAAAGTGCATTTTAGTTTTTAAAAAATCTTAAAAGACACTTTATAAAATTTATATAACATCTCTGAGATATATAATCTACGAAATCTCTAAGTAAGATCTATAATACTTTATAAAACGTATATAAGTTAATTCGACTCAAATCAAAAAGAGAACCTTTTACTTCTCATCGATTTTTAATGACGCGCTGAAAGAATAAGCTATATCTCTTATGCGAGACTGATGTTTACGCGAGATTCATAAGGCAATTATGCGATTATTCTTTATCCGTATCATCATCGTAGAGTTATGTGTGACGTTTTAAGAAAAAAAATTGCGAGAAAAAAGAAAAAATAAATTTGTTTTTACACGCACATCTCCCGCAACGCGTTGTATATCGCGCGTGTCGGCGACTGGATTTTTCATACGATTTTACTATCATGTTTGGTGATCAACGAATGTGTTGTAAGCATTTAGAGCGAAAAGATGTGAAAAATCGAATCGCTCCGAAGCTCATGGAACAAAAAAAAAATACGCGGCCTGAACATTTCCCCGCATTTTACGACGAACATTTGAGATTGTGCGCGTTCCAGAACTTCGAATATATTTTTTATTTCGATATTTCTAGCAAACTCGAATGTGACAAGTGCTCAATTATCGTTTGAGGAATATAAATTCTTTGCTCATACACATATATGTGTGCGTCTCATTATTTAAAACCTGTTTATCTCGTTTCAGGAAGAAGACAAGAAACCGATCGTAATCCTAATCGATATTTTATTGAGAAGAAATTATATATAATTTTTGAACACAATATTCAATAATTTTTAATTATTTCTAAATATATATTTACACCTTAGAAATCTTGGTTTCAATTTTAATAATAAACATAGTTACTTTTTAAAATCGGATTTTTCTTCAAAGAAAATTTTCAGAAAAAAGCCAGGAGCTTTTCTCACGATGTTCTGATATATAACATGTCTGTAATTACATCCCGGTAATTCAAATTTAGATAGGGAATTCCCGAAGTATTAATATTGCATTAGTCCAGTTGCGTAACTCAGTTGCAATTTATTCATCTAATTCGCAATCATCGCGTTAGGCCACAAGAAACATCTTGTCGCGTCGTCATCGCGCCGTCATAAGTACATTTGCAGTGCAAAGGACTAAGCGGTCGATTCGCGAGCTGCGCTGGTGCAGCGGCATTATCGTTGGATCTCATAACGAATCGACAATTTATATGATTCTATTGTTCTATGATGACTGTCAGATCGGACGCGCTCGAACCACTCGGCGCATAATATAAAGGCAAAGAGATTAAGAGATATATAATTTACGACGTGGCTATCCTTCATGGAGAAGCGTGTATCAGGATTATCCGCTTGTCGCTTGCAGTCGAAAGCGGCAATTCTAGTTTTGCATTACGCATCGAGACCTTTCTAACGGTACACAAAGTTCGATATGCCTTTGCCTTTGCCACGTGCCATATATATGATCGTGATTTTTATCACTTTAATTTTTCGCTCTCGAGAATAACTTGCAATTTCAAACTGGTCCCTGCTAATTAAAAATGTAATCTCATATATGTTATTTTAATTCTTTTTAATTATTCTTTGCGGTTTCTTTTCTTTACACGAAGCCAATAATAATGCATGTTTATGACAAATGAATAAAGAACGCGCGAGTGGTCATTCATCGTGTAGAAAGTTTGTGCATATTTCTTTGCCATCCGACATATATAAAATTAACCGAAAGTGGTTTCAAGTTACTTTCATCAAGATCTTATAGCGAATCTCTGAAATAAGATACTCGAGCGTATCAAAAGCTCCATCGAAGATCTACGATTTATCGTTACGTAACATTAATCCTCTTCGAGTAATTACGGATGAACACAGCGGGATGAGAGAGTGGTTTGCTCCGGATGAGAAAGAAAGGGATATAATCGGAGCGGGACAGAATAAGAAAGGAGCCGGCGCGGAAAAAGAGGAGGAGGCACAGGGAGAGCGAGATAGCACGGTTTGCGCAAACCGCAGTAATTAAATGCAAATACCGCGTGGTGCGCTTGGCGAAATTAATATTTGACATCTGTCGCGCAACTCGGTCATTCGGGTCGTTCCTCCTTCGAGGAATCGACGATTGCTGCTGCTGTTGCTGCTGCTCTCTCTGCCCGATAATGAGCGGAAAGTTAGGCGCGCGCAATCGCTGTCGACAAATTGGATAGACTAAAAACATCCCATCCGACGACGGAGAATTAACAATGGAGAAATCTCTCTCCCTCCCGATCCTTTTCAGCACCGGTGAACGTGAACTCATCGTCGCCGGCAAAAAAGTGATGGGATCAAAGATGATTTATTCGGGAAAACTGTTTTATATATTCTTCAAAATTAGAATTAATTCAGGATTAATTTTAAAATGAAATTGATTAAAGCAAATGACTGTTTTAAAAGAATGTTTAGAATCTATTATTCTTCATTCTTGATAAACAGATAAAATTCTTGATTTCTTATATGGAAGTTGTAGCGATATAATCGAATGTCGAGTTGTGTATGTTGGAATAAAAAAAAGAATTTACTCTCTAAAACATATATTCTAATTTATATTATAGAATTTAATTATCTAGTTTTATCAGAAAAATTAATAGAAAGAGAAAACTGTGAAAAGAATAGAAAAAGACATAAAAATTTTTAAACCATTCTCTATTCTATCGAAAATTAGGAACTTTATAATTTTGAAAAATAAATTTTCTCATCTATTCTCTTTTTATAATTCTGAAAATTATAATTGAATAATTATTTATTTTAAAAAATCGTCACATATTTCTGCATAAATTTATCTCTTCCCCTTTGATTTAAATTCTCTCTTATTAATTCATTTTCTGACTTTCTTATTATTTAAATGTTAATTATCTTTTTTCAGATAAAGAAGAAAGAGAGTTAGAATCTCCAAAGAGGTGAATAATTTATCCTTGCTGTTCTCTTCTTTTCTACGATATTGTGACGCTTATTTCCCGGATAATAATGACGATAAGAAGCCCGATTGACCGACCACGATAAATTCCTTCATATTTCTTTATACAATACATATCTAAAACCTGCCGCAATTGATTAAAAATAGTCGGCTGACGCGATGGATTTCTATTTTTTGGTTTATTTTGTTGCGCGGTGAAAAAGTACGTGTATGATAAATTATGCAATGAAAAAATCTTAAACAAACGAAATTTTATTTTTCAAATTACCAATTTTGAATCCATTTATCTTCATGGATCATATTTACATATACATATATATTCATATTATATTATTGCACTTATAATTGTATGCAGCGATTTAAAATGTAAAAGCTGTTTGTTATATACTTAAAATGTAAAATATGTAAGAAATGTTTTTGAAATGTGAAAACTGTTATGTTTAAAATGTAAAATATGCAAAAACTGAGAAAAGACATATTGCGCCATGTATCATTCTCCATTGCAAATTTACAGTTAGCACAGCGTATTGCAATAAAATAACATTATGCAACAGAATATTATAAACAACAATAGGAAAAAAAATGACTCGTCCATCACAGTTTTTAAGCTGCTTACTTGCCAGGAGGAAGCAATTATTGTGTATTTTTCCCCAATCATGAAATATTACAGGTCTTCACGCAATCTACCCGTTTCTTTTCATATTTATATCCGAATATTGAAAGTATCTTCGCATTTTGAAGAATTCTAGAGATTCTTAAAACGATTCTCGGAATTTTGATCCATCTGCCGTTTCTTTACTGATTATATATTCCGATAATTTTGTAAAAATTATATTGTTTAAATTTTTACGATTGGTAAATTCCATTTCTTAATTGCCGATAGTTTATAATTCAGTGTCTCAATATATCGACAGAGTGGTGTATGGCTTGCAGTTGCAATAGTTATAAGAAGCGCTACAATCTTACAACGAGTCCCTCTCGTAAAGTGATTACCGCTACCGTTCGTGTTCGGTGGGCGGGGAATTGATAGAATCTTATGTTTACAAAAAATTTCGTAGAGAAATTATTACACCGAGTGACGGATTAATCAATTTCGAAGATGGTACGTGAAATGTATAATTACAAAGCAAATCAATATTCTCTATTAGTGATAAAAATACGGATAAATATATAGAGAAAAATATATGCTCCAAAATGCCATCTCGTACGATTGACGTTTCTATTTCTGTCAGGTGGTTGATAGGCCACACATACTTGATAAATTCGGATGTGATATTTGATTATGAAAAATTGATAGATTAGAGAGTTGTGTCTTTATATCGCATAAAAATTACTCTTATTAAATAATAAGGAAATACATCTTTGATAATTATCTTACATTCACAGTGATAATGATGCTAACAATTGAATTAGCAATATCTAAATGACAAGGATAAATAGGATTTAAGTATTTAAAACTACATACGTTTTTACAGATACGTTTCATCCTTATACAAAATAGGGCGGGTAAGACTAGATTAGCAAAGTGGTACATGAATTTTGATGATGATGAAAAACAAAAATTAATAGAAGAAGTTCATGCAGTTGTTACTGTCAGAGATGCAAAACACACAAACTTTGTCGAAGTGAGTTTGACAAGACGCTGCCTTCTTGTACTACATGTAAACTATATAGCTACCATATGTATAAAATAAATATATATGTTTCAGTTTCGCAATTTCAAGATAGTATATAGGCGGTATGCAGGTTTATATTTCTGCATTTGTGTTGATGTTAATGATAATAATCTCTGTTACTTGGAAGCAATTCATAATTTTGTAGAGGTGTTGAACGAATACTTTCACAATGTATGCGAGTTGGATTTAGTCTTTAATTTTTACAAGGTATTATTCTCTCTGAAAGTGTTTTCATGTTAATATCATTCTTATAAATAATTCGATGAAATTTGTAAATAAATTAATCATTTTTATTTTAATTAATATCATGAAGCTTTATATATAACTTGATTTATTTTATTTATTTTCCAGTATGTATAATGATAATAATTGTTTTAGGTGTACACTGTTGTGGACGAAATGTTCTTAGCTGGTGAAATCAGAGAGACGAGTCAAACCAAAGTACTGAAACAACTCCTGATGTTAAATTCTTTAGAATAAACGGACTCAATTTTAGCTTTATATGTTAACAAATACTTCATCTGAATATGTGTAATGTCCAAAGTGGATGTACATTCATAATATATAGATTATATTGCATAAAACACATACATAAATCCTCTATGTAATGATATTATTCAGATGAGTTCCAATAATTATTTGTTTCATATAAAGAAGATAATGTACAATAACCTCTATTTGAAGTTTACGTTACAACTTAGAAAAAAAAAACATCAGTGCTCAAAACATGACAAACTATTGTAGGCATGAAAGAACAAGTAGAAAGAATATATAAAAAATGTCCTCTGTGTTTTAAGTATGTAATAAATCTTGTAAATATGTGATAGTGTATCCATAAAATGTCTCTCTTTATTGTTACATATGTATATTTCACAGCATTTATATTAAAATAGAAAATACTAATGTTTTTTTCACTATAAGATTCACTATACTTGTCTCTATATGAGATAGAAGATGTTGATTCAATATAATTTTTCTATATTTATTTTTAAGATCAAAATATATATACAAAAAGTACTCTTGTATATAAGAAAGATTATCATTAAAATTGCCGTGCATGGTCAATAATTATTTATATATATCTTTGACTTAATTATGTTAACATAATCACGTTATATGATCGCGAGGACGCGCGTTATAATCCTATTAACACCGTAAATGTATCAAAGATATCTCTAATCTATACAAGACTCAAAAAATAGATCACAAAGTTGACAGTCGCTTAACAAGATCCATGGTGAAGAGAATAAAAGATAATTTATATTATATAAAT